GCTGTTTTGTTAATTTTATTCTTGATTTGTATAGGTGTTTTCCCCCCTTAGGTTTGGTTGTATTTTTATGTTTTTAAACCTAAACAGTTCTTAGGGAGATTTTTACAGAGAGTACAGCTGTCTAGTAAATATGAATGAGGCTCAGACAGAAATGTTTAAATGTTTAAAGAAATGCTCCTCTAGATTTTAAAATTATTGGTTGTATGGGTACTTGTTGTTCTTTTGAGTCCAATAAGGAAACAGCTTAGCTGAAGTTACACAATGAAATCCATAGCTCCAATAACGCAATCCTAAGCATGATTACAGCCTTCTATAAGTCCATATAAGCTTTTGAATTGGGCTGCTAGTGATATAGGAAAGAAGTTCATGCTATGAATGCTATGAACACACCATCTTGTCTTGTTCTACAATTTTCTATAGACCCATTTAATCATAAAATTAAATAGTAAACCATTTTAAGAGGGAATAATTAAACCTCTTTATTTCATGTAAAATGGGTAGCTGGATTCTTTAGTAACCTAGATATACAATATGCGTCCATTAGTTAGACCATCAGATGTGTATTATTGTAAATCAAACTGCTGTTTGCATATTGGTGGTTTCTGTTTGATCGAAACAGCAATTATCTCTCTGTTTCTCTGCTGCTGTTGGAACTCAACATCCGCCTTGAGTTAGCTGACTCTGATGAGGCAACCAGGTGATCTTGCTTGCATGTGTGCTGCTGCAGTTGGGGTATTTCATTTTAAAAGGAAATTCTAGATGGGTATTTGTTGAAAAGGATGAAGAGTTTGGGAAGGAAAGCCTTTTGAACTGGTTTGTCTTTGTATTTAAGAACATACTTGAAAAAAAATGTTTTCAAGCATTTCTGCTTTTATCTACATACCAACGTGAACTGAAAGAAAAAAGAAATTTGGGTTGCTTTATAGCAAGAAGCAGAAATGCTCTAAGTATTTTCACTCTTAAACATGTGTGTGTGGAATTTCTGTAAAATATCTCTGATTTTGTTACCAATCTTATGCTGTACCAGCACTCCTTAGTAGTTTTTTGTTTGTTTTGCTGTCAAGTCGCAGCTGACTTACAGTAACCCTTAAAGGTTTTCAAGGCAAGAGACACTCAGGAGGTGGTCTGCGATTGCCTGCCTCTGCTTGGGACCCTGGACTTCCTTGGTGGTCTCCCATCCAAATAGTGACCAGGGCCATTCCTATGCTTAGCTTTCCAGATCTTTCAAGATTGGGCTAGTCTGAGCTATCCAGTTCAGGGCCCTTACCACTTCCTTTATCCTATGTGCTTCCCCCTTGCTTCTTCAGAAGGTGATGCTAAATATACTTATTTGAAAGTAGAATCCACTTTTAACAGTGGTGGCTGATTCTAGGTATGTGTTTAGAATTAATTCATAGTGATTCTCTTGAAGAATGAGCAACTGCTTCTAAAGTGCATACTGGATTATTGCTACTTGATATAGGATGAATACATGCATACTTTATCAGCATTACATCTGAAGGCGGCAGTATGGAAAACAACAATCCATTTTTCAAGTCAGTATGTGTGTTCTGCTCATAGGACTATCAGATGGTTCCACTGAAGGAAGCCTGTTCTGATTTTGATTTTTCTCTGTGACTCAAAACTGAGACTTTATTTCTGTGCCATTTTACTGTTTCTGCATTTTTTGAATGATGTGTCAATTGCATATCAATAGTATAAAAGGAACACATGCATTGTGTGGAATGAAAGGCTTACAACATAGCATGGAAACAAATGGGGGGAAAGGAAGATTGGTGCATCTGTAGCTTCAGGGGACCTGACGTGGATAGCCCAGGCTAGCCCAGTTTAGCCTAACTTAAATAGTTAGCCTAAACTTAAATGGTTTGCAATTCTGGTTACTTTGGGTCTGCCCTCAAAGACAGCCCAGAAACTCAAACTGGTACAGAATTTCACAGCTTGAGTATTATTGAAAAATAAGTAGAATATGCATATTACATGTATTCTGCAGTTGTTTCATTGGTTACCAATTAGTTTTGGGGGTCAGTTCAAGGTAATATGTATCACCTTCAAAGCTCTTCATAGGTAATACTTACTACCTTGAACGCCCCCCCCCCCCAAAAAAAGCTCTTTCTACCCTGCCCTGGATAGCTCAATCTCAGAAGCTAAGCAGAGTCAGCCCTGGTTAATATTTGGATGGGAGACCCCAAAGAATATCAGGGCACCAATGCAGAGGCCGGCAATCACCTCTGAACATCTTTTGCCTTGAAAACCTCACAGGGTTGCCATAAGTCAGCTGTGATTTGACGACCAAAAAAAAGCAAGCTTCAGAGTATGGGCTTGTGATATGAATTAGTATGGATTCCTTTCATTTATTTATTTTTACTGGAGACTCAGGTACTAATTTAGAATTAATGTAGTCTTTTAAAAATCTTACTCCAAATAAGAAGCATGAATTCATTTAGCATTCTCTTTACACTATATTCCATACTGTAGCTGGGTGCTCTCTTCATTCATCTCTAAAGAGATCTGGCAAAAAGTGCTTCCTTCTCTGGGCGTTAGCTGGAATGTGGGTAGAGAGAAATGAAGCTGCAGTGTTTGCATAGTTACCGCAGCAGTAGACTATCTCTGCCATATAACTGTTACATATAAAACTGTGAAAAATATGCTTATGTGTTTCATAAACTACAACCAATCACATTTATTAAAAATTACTATTTCACTGAATGAAGTTTTTGAAAGGGTTAATGTGTTTTATGTCACTTTTTGTGACAGGGATAAGATATGTATATATTACAGATTTTGCTTTCTTAAAATGAAAAAAAAACCCTCTCTCAAATGTATTCTGTATGTTGTAAAAGATAATTATTTCCCAGATGCTTCAAAGGTTATACTTCAAAAGTTAGGCTTGTAATGGCAGGGAGTTGCTTCATGAGCAAAGTGACATCAGTCATACCAAAAATCTTTCTTTTTCTGTTTTCTACATTTTATATTAGTAGATAGAGAGAAAAATATCCTGTGTACTTTAAAATCAGTCCTTTAATTTATTGATGACATGAAAGTTATAAACAAGATGTATGGCTTTATTAAAATGTCAGTGTGATAATCATAATTGTAAAAGATGATTAGATGTTTTATAAGTTGGAGGATTGAGGAGTGGAAGAAATACATTGCCAGACAAGGAGGATATCAAAGGCATTACTTTGGGTTTGCACATGTCAATCAAGGACTATAAAGCAAAGTTAGTGGTTTTCTGTGAGAATTAACATATAGATTTTCATTAGGCATTCACAAAACAGTGCAGACTGGTATATCAGCCATCCATTAGAGGTTTTACTTTGCAGAAAATTCCTAACAGGTCAATAGGAGAGCTGTTCAAAGGATTGCTTTCCAGTAAAGAGGACTGTTTAGAATAAATAGCTTCACAAGTTCAAAACACTGGGAGATATAACCCTGAGGCTTAAGTGCACCTGTAACTTTAAGTGAAATGTTTTCAATTTCTTGTCAATTTCCTTTTAAGTAGAAATCCTTCTTTGGAACCAGTCACATTTTGAGAGAGTTCAAAATAGAAATGGGTTTTAATTATAACTGTTGGCAGTTTTAAGAACTCGATATTTTTCTTCACCTATAGAAAGTCAAAGGAGTTTTGACAGTACTCCTCTTGATCTGCCCTTGCAATGGAATCCACAGGAGACTGCCCTTCAGAAATTGTTTTGTACTCTGAACTGTTGAAGGACTGCTGCTGTGTTTGTCTAACAGGGGGAAACATTTTTCATTTCAGCAGCAGGGAGTCATTTATGTTCAGATACAATGTATATGAATCATGAAAAAAATAAACCTAGATGAGAAAGTGGGTTTTTTTGGGGGGGGACTTGGGGGTTGCTAAGGGTCCTAGTATAGCTGAAGGGAAAAGGTAGGGAAAACAAGAACACAGCAAATGAAGGAATTGTCAAAGTTGCTGTCGATGTTCCGTGTGATGTTTACATTGGCTGGTTATTGGACAAAATGGAATTTGGCATTTGAGTCACTTCTGTGTGTATGTGTAAACTATAAAATTACCTAGTAGTGTGGACGTATGTGATTCCCTGTTAAAAATGTAAATCTTTTTAGACATGGAGTCACTTTGTCAGAACTTGTTTCTGCCCAATTATATACATCAGTAGTAGTATTAAAATGGGGGGCAGGGTGTTATGCTCTAATCCAATTTGAAGGTATATGTGTGCATCTGTTCCTTGTTGGATAAGGTTATGTGCAAATAGGGAATGCATGCATGGCTACTGACCCCATCCATCTATGCATAGCCAGTGGCAGCTGATTCACCTTGTCTGGAGAGAGGTGCCAAGGCCTGGATCCCCCACTGCTTCTTCCCGCACACAGCTGATCAGCACTATCACCAATTATATGACTAGTGTTAGTGTGTACAAATTAGGGTATCTTCATAGCTGAAGTACTTTTGAATGAGCATTCCCATTAGAATCTCCACCAGTCTGAAAACATAGCTCAGGTAGTTTTACAGGAAGAACAGGTCAAAATGTAAAAAACCCTTGTATTTAATTTTACAAGTTAAGACAAGAACCATTGATTGTACTTTGGTAAAACTTCTGTTTTTGTTTAAAATAATGTTAACACATTCCGTTTTGTAAACTATATCAATATTTTCACTCAGATTCATGTGGACGATAATATGAATCATTCAAGCTGCTGTTTAAGTTTGCCACGTGTGTTTAAATAATGCTGGAAATCCTTGTTCCTTTGCTACATTGTGCTGTAATGGTGTAGGCGCAACTTCAACTGAAAAATATTTAGATTGGCATTAAATAGTGCTACACAGTTATAGATGTCCAAATAAATGACTACAAGAGAATATTTAAAAATCATAACTTCTGGATGCATTGGACCTATGTGTATTTATTGTGTGTACATTGACTGTATATAGCGCTGGACTAATAATAAACTCCTGAAATCTTTCCATGTATACTTAATGTATCACTTTTTCTTTCTCCACTCTGTTTAGTGTTGAAGGTGAAGCTCCTGGAAGTGAAACTGGCACATCATTGGATAGCTCATCTGCTTATCGTCAAGGAACTATAACTCACAGTTCAGCGATAAGTCCAGACCATTACGACCATTCTCCCTACGGGCTGTATTCTGTGTCTCCTGGGCAGCAAAGGCCTAGGAGACCCAAGCTTCAGCATTCAACGTCCATACTGAGGAAACAAGCAGAAGAAGAAGCTATTAAAAGGTCAAGGTCACTTTCAGAGAGCTATGAACTCTCTTCTGACTTGCAGGATAAGCAGGTATTTGAATTCTCTTTTACTTATGAACCATGCTAAATTGTGTCATAAAAAGAAATGTACAGATTATTCATAAATAACATATTTGTGAGATTCTAAGTTTGTCTCATAATTTGGCATGTCCACATATTATTCAAGTTTGTGTGTTACCTCTTGGTCCTTAACTTTGGTTGAACAAGCAGCTAATACTCATGTTAAGAGATATTTTTATTTATTTATTTACTTCATTTGTACCCCATTGTTCTCCACAGTGGGGACCCAGACGTTTTCCGCAGTGTCAAGTTTCCCTTTTCCTCCACTGCTTTCTCTTGTTTCCGCAGATGTTTCCGCAGTCCCAGACACAAAAACGCAGTTTGTTCCCTATTCCTCCACAACATCAGACTTCTCTGTTTCCACAAATTCCTATGCTTGCCGCAAGAGGGGGCAAACTGCGTGTTTGCTCCTGGGAGGGTGAAATCATCTGCAGAAATGCGGGAAAACAGCAGATGAATAGAAGAGCAGGCGGGGGGAAACCCGACACTGCAGAAAACATCCCAAAGTGGGTTACAATGTTCTCCCCTCTGCTGTTTTATCCTCACAACAACTGCGTAAGATAGGTTAGTCTGAGAAAGCATGACCAGCTCAAGGCCACCATGTCAGAGAGGGGTTTGAAGCTGGGTCTTCCAGATCTAATCCAACACTCTAACACAGTGGTACTCACTCTGCAGCTTGTAAAGAGACACATTCACAGTTACCGTCAACCAAAAGAGCCACATTGACTCAGCCTTAGCATGAGGCCTGCACCTTAGGGAGTCTTTCAGCTTACCTGTTCTTCTGGTGATTAGTTTCACCTGTCAATCACCTGTCAAGCACAAGCCCCACCAAGCAAGGGCCTAAGTGATTGTCTCAGTGATCTAACCATTACATACTGCTAGTTCATTTCTGCATGTTCTTGAAAATAAAATGGTATTGTTTGCTGCTACATGAACATATTTTGAAGTTATTTCAAGCTTGCTTGCCTAAGCTCTTCTCCTCCCCCCACCCCTTGCACATAACAAGGTAATTAGTTCTTTCACAGTAAACCATAGTTAGCTAGTGTCTACCTGTCTACTAAAAAAGTCTCCAAGATGATTTACACCAGAATGAATACAACAAAAAGTAAATAAAATCAGTAAAAATGTAATAAAAAACAATAAAACCCAGTTTTCTAATACTGCTACCTCCCCCACTCCCCCGCCACACTGTTTCTTATTGATACAGGCCAAAGTCACTCCAGAAAAGACGTATTTCCTATCTTTCTTGGAGTCCTTTAGGAAAGCAATAATTCTTACCTCCCGATGGGGAGAATACCAAGGTCTGGTGATAGAGCATTGGAAAAAGCCATCCTTCAGGTTCCCACCTGCTGGATCTCTGCTAAGGGGAAGTTCCTCTGGGCTGACTTCAAGTCAAGTTGCAAGTTGTTTGATACTGATGAAGATGATTCTTCAGGTCCTCTAGGCATAAGACATTTAGTGTTTTAAAGGTCAAAAACAGCACCTTATATTGAATCCAGTAACAGACCGGAAGCTGGTGTATTTGAGAGCCAGCATGGTATAGTGGCTAAGAGTGGCAGCCTCTAATCTGGAGAACCGGGTTTGATTTCTCAATCCTCCACATGAAGCCTGCTGGGTGGCCTTGGGCCAGTCACAATTCTCTCAGAACCCTCTCAGCCCCACCTATTTCTCAAGGTGCTTGATGTGGGGGAAGGAAGGGATGACGATTGTAAGCTCCGTAGAGTAGAGAAAAGCGGGATATGAAAACATTCTTCTTGATGATGATACAATACTGTCTTAATATGATCACACTATCCAGTACTTATAAGGACAGTAGCTGTTGCATTTTTGGACCAACTGAAGTTTCTGTAATAGATTTCCATTACATTCAAACTGGCAAATTATGATTTGCACTTTTCCTGTAAAATTGAGTTTAACCAATATGTGGAATCGGGGTCTGCAGGCACCAACCATACTTTTCTGGCTCAAATGGAAAACTGTAGTTTGCCATAGAAGTAGAAGGAAGTCATTATTTTGCTGTATGCGAGGGAAGGAGTTTGGGGAGCAGGGTAGGCAAAAGTCAGCCTTATGCTCCTCCCAGGCTTGTTACATGTGAACTATGCCAGAATTGAATGCTTGGTGATCATCCAGAATTAAACCAGATTTAAAAACGCAACATGAAAATTCAGGAACCCAGAAACATAAAGGGTCCATTAACAAAATTAAAAACATAACCAATTCTGCCAAAATAGTTTACCTTCCACCAAATGATATCTGAACTAGGACTGTCTTGCAGGGCTTTCTAAATACAGCCAGGGAAAGTGCCCTCTGCACCCACTCTTGTAGTCCATTCCAGATTACTGGATTTGCCACAGAGAAAGTCTACCTGTGCTGTTGTCATATAGACAATCTTCAAAGTGGCCATCACAAGGAGAAGGCTGTCTGAGGGACTTAACTGGCATGTGAGAGTGTACCAGGAGACATGGGTCAATAAGCATGAGGGCATTAGGCTGTGAAGGGCTTTAAATGTTGAAACCAGCACTTTGAATTAGAAGCAGGTAGCCTGGCGTGATCTGGTCCATGAGTCGCGAAGAGTCGGACTCGACTGTGCGACTGAACAACAACAACCAGTGCAAATGATGTAGCATTGGACTACTTTCTAACCAGTATCACCTTAGTCATGTCTGGATTAAGCTTCATTTTGCTTACTCTCAGCCCCTTGACCATTGGACCTTTAAAGCTGCTTCTGGTGTCTGAGATAATGATATGTAGAGCTGAGTGTCATTCACATATTGGTGACAACCCATACTGAAGTACCTGATGATCTCGGCCAAAGGTTTAACTTAAATGTTAAAGTGTATTGGGGGTAAAATGGGCTCTTGGAGCACCTCACACATTAGGTCGCAACTAGCTGATACTTTCTTTCCTATGAAAACTGTTTCATGTCAACAAGAGAAGAATGAAACCAGCCTTTTATCCCAAATATTGATTTTTACATGCTTATTTATACAACACTAGATAAGTGTAGCCCTGACCTGGATGGCCCAGGCTTGTCAGATCTCGTACTTGTTAGATCTCGTAAGCAATGTTCCCTCTAAGCTCCACAGTGTTGTGAGCAAAAAGTCTACCTTGTGAGTGAAAAAAAGCTAACAGCATTAAAGTTGTGAGTGAGTCTGCATCTGCCTATCGCATAAATTAGTTTTTTTAGATTATTTCCATAACCCTGTAAAGATCTCAGAGGTGGAACAATCACTGTCAGAACCCTGCCTAACCTAACAAACAGGAAGTTGCTTAAATGTTATCAACCTTCCCAAACTATTTATTTATTCAAATATTTATATCCCACTTTTCCCTGTGACTCAAGGCAGCCTACGAATCATACTGAAAAGCATAACGGGGGGCAAAAAGCGTCTATTTCTTCTGGCTCCATTGTAGCCTATGGAGATCATTATAGTCAATGGACCCCATAGACTATAATGGAGAATTGATCTAAGGGTATCTGGGGCTCTGGGGGAGCTGGGTTTTTTTTAAGTAGATGAACCAATTTTGCAGCATAGCTGCTGGTGCCTCTCCTCAAAAACCTCCCCAAGTTTCAAAAAGATTAAACCAGGGGGTCCAATTCTATGGGCCCCAGGAGGAGGTGCCCACACTCTCCATTTTTTCCAATGGAGGGGGAAATGCTTTAGTCTGAGCAGAAGCTAAAGTCCCTGAGCTGGCCTCTGAAATGTTGTGCACCGGTGCCCCCAGCACAGCTTAGAGTGAACTCTGCTCAGAAGCTAAGCTGAGTCAGCCCTGGTTAGTATTTGGATAGGAGACTACCAATGCATTCCAGGGCCCTATGCGGAGGAAGGCAATGGCAAACCACCTCTGTTAGTCTCTTGTCCTGAAAACCGTTTGGGATTGCCATAAATTGGCTGTGACTTGACAGTACTTTACACATAGAGATCAGCGTAATCTTGGTACAAAGATATGTATGAGCACATCTAGATTTTTTGTCAAGGTACATATGTGTATCAGGTACACAAAATGGAGTGAAATTAAAATTGCAAGAACCTACTCATGCATAGTGCTCTGTATCAAATTTGGAAGGAAAAAAATGAAACTATAGAGAATTCTTTAGGCATTAATTTTACTTTGCAAGTAAGAACAGGTAATGTGAAGCTCCAGAATCCAAGGAGAAACTCTGGAAAGGAAGCTTTTGGAAGTATTCCTAAATAAACTTTATTGCACTTGTTATGATAGGCATCTATCAGATAATCTTACGGTGTTCTTACATGAGAGGATTTCAACTTTACTCTTTGTTCTGATTTCAGTAACTTCTTTCCATTATTGTTGTTAGCTCCTTTTAAAGAAGACTACTGCAGTGAGGAAATTAATTTGTAGGATGTAAGATAAATGTAACCCAGAAATGTACATCAAATTCTGATGGAAATAATAGAAATAATATGAGTTGGTATGGTTGCGTTAACACTTGCCTAAACCCTCCTTGGAGCATCTCTCAAAGACTCTTCACAGAAGAAAACCCCAAAGGAGAAAGTTTGAATGGGAAGTGTCTTCATCAAAGTTGTTCTTAACTGTTGAAAAAAATCTGGAAGGAAAAGGATTCAATAAGATTTCAAAAGTGCAATTTGTTGCTTTGTTAAAAATTGATTATATCTGTGGCATATATAATTGGAAAAACTAGTAGTGAATGGTTACCTTAAATGTAATCCAAACTAAGAAATCCAAGATGTAAAAACTTTTTATAATTAGTTCAGTAAGCGTCAAAATGTCTTCAGCCTAAGTGAATCTAAGAAACAATGTCCTTGGAAAGTTAATACTTTGAAATTTTACAGTACATCTAAAATGTTTTCAGTTATGTTAGCTTCTTTTTATTAAATTACAGAATTTTAATATGGGTGAGTTAACTGCATTTTGTAGAAAATTTAAGGAAGAGTTTGTTTTACTACACTTACTAGATCATTGATTAATACTTCCAGATTTCATCACAGTCAAAAATCCTATTAGGTTCTTCAGTATGTCTAATTAAATTGCTGCCCTCTATCTGGAAATAATTTTCACAGAGATATGGGTCATACTCCTTTCCCCTTGTTAATTAAGTTTATATGTGACAGTTGTAAAAGAGATCTTGATGAATAACTTTATGTGCAGCTGTACAGGTAATTTACCATTGTGATGATCCTGTATATATTGAATCTCACTCTCTTTCTCACTCACTCTTTCAGAAACCTTTCTAGATCTTCAGTTTCTAACATACAGATTTTAGTGAGAGAATCATGAAGTTGTGGTCTCTGTATTCTACAGCTGCAACATATAATCTTACAGCATGAGTGTGATAAAATATTTATGTTTTCTTTTTAGGTTGAAATGCTAGAACGGAAATATGGAGGCCGTCTCATAACTAGACATGCTGCTCGTACTATACAGACTGCTTTTCGCCAGTATCAGATGAACAAAAACTTTGAGCGGCTAAGAAGTTCTATGTCTGAAAATCGTATGTCAAGACGCATCGTGCTGTCCAATATGAGAATGCAGTTTTCGTTTGAAGGACCTGAGAAAGTCCACAGTTCCTATTTTGAGGGGAAACAAGTTTCTCTTACAAATGATGGGTCGAAGTTAGGAGCTCTTGTCCAATCTGAATGTAGTGACCTTGGTGAATCAGCTACCATGAAATCTCCGGCAGCATCTACTGACTTTGCTGATGCCATAACGGAATTGGAGGATGCTTTTTCAAGACAAGTGAAATCTCTTGCGGAGTCAATTGATGATGCCCTGAACTGTCGTAGCCTACATTCTGATGAGGTACAAATACCTGATCAAGTCAGAAGTCGTGAAATAGAGAGGGACAGTTGTCAAGTTAAACCAACAAGCCATAATGTTGATCATAGAAAACTTGATGAAATGACTGCATCATACAGTGATGTTACGTTATACATTGATGAAGAAGAACTATCCCCACCACTGCCCCTTTCCCAATCTGTAGATAGGCCATCTAGCACAGAATCTGACCTGAGACTTCGGTCAATAAATCCATCTCAAGAGTACTGGTCTATGACGCACAAAGATCATAAGATAGACACTGACACAAGCTGCAGGAGTACCCCTTCACTAGAATCCCAGGAGCAAAGGATGAGAATGGATCATCTGCCTTTATTAACTATAGAACCACCAAGTGACAGTTCAGTGGACTTAAGTGATCGTTCAGAAAGGGGATCATTAAAGAGACAGAATGCATATGACAGAGGAATTACTAGTCAGCAAGGTAGTCCAAAACACATCTCGCATGGTATCCCTACCAAGATAATATCACGAGAGGAGCAGGAAACTAGACATAGGCCAAGGCCCATTGATAGCCACTTAGCTATTAATGGCACAGCAAACAGGCAAAGCAAATCTGAGTCTGATTACTCTGATGGTGACAATGACAGCATTAATAGCACTTCCAATTCCAATGACACAATAAACTGCAGCTCAGAATCTTCTTCTCGAGATAGCCTAAGGGAACAAACATTGAGCAAGCAAACATACCACAAAGAGACTCGAAATAGCTGGGATTCTCCTGCCTTCAGTAATGACATCATCAGGAAGCGCCACTATAGGATTGGACTGAACCTTTTTAATAAGTGAGTACATTTTTTCCTGTCCTTCCGTCCCAAGAAGCAGTGGCTTTGTTTATTAGCTTTTTGCATAAAGAAATATTTTATCTCCAGTCATAGGATAATAGAATTGGCTGCAGTTCTGATGTGAAGGTTAACACGTACGCAAACATTGTGTGTTAACGGCCGCCTATTTCTACCTAATTCTCGGTTTATTAGATCTACTCTCCCTCTTTACATCTCCTGCCCTGTTTCCATATTGCTTTTTAAACCTCAGGGTACTTCTTGGACAAGTGGTCTTTTGGAAGTCCTCCTTGTTTCCCTTCACAGAAAATTTGAAAAAGATGGAGGGTAAGGAATATTTAGAAAAATGGTAAAAACTGGCAAAACTGAGAAGCATTTAAAACAGAAAATAATAAGCAATGAAGTTCTCAGTGTTGTTAATTTTGGACCCAGAAAATCTGTAGTTTTTTTTTTAAATGTAATATTCATGGATTTTATGTTCTACTGATTCAGCTAAAGCGGAATCTTCCTGTCTACAAGTTGGATAGAGTTGTCCATTTTACTTCACATTGTCCTAAAAATAAATAATGCTTTATAGACAAAGGGTCATTAAGAGTGATGGCAAAACGTTACGCTGGTTGTAGTGGGACAGTACCTTCCTGATCCTTCCAATACTGTGTAGGGCATTGCATCAGGTTGAAGGAGCAGTACCTTTGACTGATTATAATAAATAAAATTAATTGTAGGAAGATCTCAGCGCTACTTCATGCAATACAGTTTAGTGAATTGTAGAAATGAGCACTACTCAAGACATAGAAGGCAAAAGTGAATAAGGAATGGTGACAGTGTGACAAATGCTGAATCCTTTCCCAGGTAACAGACTCTATAGTGCAGCAGTAAAAACAGGAAGCCTTGTGAAATATCAGGAAGGGCCAGAGAAGCACTCAGGGCCAATATAAAATGGAGCAGAGCAAAGAGAAAGCATAGGAAGAAGAAATACCCCAGAACCACCAAGAAATACCACCAAACCACTGCAGTCTTCCTTGCAGATTGAGGCTATTATTGCTGATGAGCCCTGGCTAATGTACTAATTCCACAGTGCATTACACAACACGCTAAGAACGTGAAGTTGGTGTTTTTTTGCTTCTGCGTGTATACCACCCACTCCCTTTTCATTTGTAAATTCAGTAATATTGGCTAATTATGGAACACATGCAGCAGTGTGTGTTTTGACTTCAGAGTCATTCCTTAGATTGACAGGTTAGGGGGGGGGGTGTAACTCCCAGTGAGAATGAAAGTAGTGTTACACAATATTTTCTTCTAAGTAGTTTGTCATATTGCTAGGGGATGAGAGAGTCAAAATATTTTAGTGGGTGATGCTGACCTTAAACCTCTGAGTTGTACCTGTCTGCTCAGTACATTAACAACTTAGTCCTTGAATTTTGCCTTCTCCTATGCGTACTTGCTATTATTTTATTGTTACTCTAAACCACATATTGTTAACTATAACTGAATTTACTTCAAGTGTCATTTCAGACTTCCTGATTCTTTTTGTTGTTCCCTTCACACTGCACATTTTAAATGTTTATATTGGTCTGTTAGGATCCCAGATTAGTTGCTTAACTTTTTTTGTTGATTTAAATGGCAACTTAGACCCTTAAACATGCTTTGGATTGTGCCTGATCTCTACTAGATACAATTCTGTTGACAAGCTTTGCTGAACCCATATTGTAAAGTCATATTTAACTAGTTTTGGTGTGGCACTGGCATATGCGGGGAGCCATCTCGAGAAGTATGGGTGCTGGTAGAGAGACGGGTGGGTGTTGACAGACCCATAAGACAGGTCTAGCCTGAGGATCATCGTATGAGCTGGAACTGGATATTGGGAGCATGCCCCTGGGTTGGAGGAATTGCAGAGGATGGCATGGACCTGGATTCATCTCATAGCTCCCAGGTGGTAGGCAGTTACTGGGCATCAATTTAAAGACAGCTACACTGAAGAGCTGGAGGGAAAAAGAGGAGGATTCTGGACTCTGAAGGGGGCAGTCTCGTGAGCATGTGATGAGGTGAGGGAACCCAACCGGCCAGGTTCATGGAGCGAAGAAACTACCCTGCACGGGACCACATCTGTAAGTTGCCCCATGAATAGATGTTAATTACCTTGCCTCTTTGGTAGTCACTGTCTGCAGAAAATGGAAGGTTGCCCACTCCCCAGCTTGCTGAAGCCCTCTGCCCTGGCAGGCACTATGCCATGGGTGTGGCCCAAGCAAGACCCGGCGGCCACACTTGGGCGTCTTTAGCTTCTGTCTACTTGCGTCCATATTATTTGCTCTTCTGAAACACAATCAGGGTGAAGTAGGAAAATTACATATGAGAAATTTCTGTTAAAAAATTCTGTATGAGAGTGGGTGTGTCAGTTTATAACATTTCATATTAAGAGTGTTTTTACAACATCTGGAGCCCAGATTACTCTGTAACAGCAACATGGAAGAAAAATCTAAATGCAAATGTTCCTTCTGACTTTCCCCTTTTAAACACCCCCCCCAAAATGCCTAAATAAAATTCATAGTAAATACAATTCATAATATGAGTTGGCACGTGCATTAATTTAGTCAAATGTTGGGTGTATTCAAAATGAGTACAATTTTATAAGCAATTTTATAAGGAGATATAGAAGCCTTCCCAAATGCTGAAGTGAAATCTAGCCTTCAGCTGCAGTGCCCAGCATTAGCTGCTTAGAAATGTCTTCAGAAACTGGAACAGAATCATTACATCATTCACAGCCAATCAGGTTTCTTTTAGTATTAAATATTCCAAGCACACAATTAAAGCTGCATGCTAGGATTAATCAGGATTCTCTTGTCACAAAACCTAGAAAGCTGATCAGGTTATAATCTCATTTTAAAGTGGCCCCTATAAAAGGAAGGGATTGGCTGGCTACCACAGCCAAGCATCTCTCCTATTATAATTATGGAGGTCAGTATTTGCCAACTCATTTATTGTTCCCTGGAATTCAGGGTGGTCAGGCTATCCAACTGAAAAGCAGAGACAGCTGCCCTTTTCAGCTGTTTAGAGGAAGATAGTTTATTATTCGTGAACAACATCACAGCAAGAGAGAGGCAGTACCTTGTAAGGAACAATAACAGCCAAAGGAGTAAAGCCTCAGGAAAAATGAATGAGTAGATGATACCTCAAAAGTGAAATGTGTGTGTAAAGGTGAACAACATATTATCGCAGTAAACAGATCCAAGAACATCGTAAGGAATTGTTATTCAAAAGATTGAGCATAAACAGTGATAATTCCTAAAGTACAAAGCACATGAGAGATTCTGCTGTCGGGGGTACCATTGAATTGTAAGCTCCTTGACAACTTCTGATGATCATATGATCAGTGGAGTATTAGTTCTACCAATCGCTTCAAAAGTCTTCATTATGAGTATGTAGAACAAAGTAGATTTTTTTTTAATGCTGTAATAGGTTGGTGAAAGCAGTCCATGAGGGAAATTCTCTTCCACTTTGTGAGGGTTAAACCTGCAAATCAGGCAAAGTACTAATGCCTATCAAAGCTTTACTTTTAGTGTTGGGAGATGGGTAATTAAAGTAGCCCTCAACATAGGAAATATGTAGATGTAGATGTCTTTCCCCACTTTTCTGCATTTCAGCTGTTGTTTATATGTCTTTGCTGTAGAGAGTTCCTGCAGAGCTTTTACTGTCTTTTATTTTCTGTAGCACTTCAGGAGGAAAGAAAAGAGAGAGGATTCGTTTTCTAGGAGGTTTAGAATAAACTGACAGTCCTATCCAAATGCAACAGCGCTGCTGGTCAATATCCTATGCATGCTGTGTAATAGAGACGTAAGTTAAATAACAGACCTCTGATGTGGAGAGAGCACAGCAGTTGCACTTGACTCTATAACCTCACTGACACCCACCAATCATGCATCAGCATGTCGATGACACGCCTGTGACAGAGGGTGATTCCTCACTAGACCTTAAATCTAGGTTCAACCCTGGCCCCGAACTTACATTCTACACTACACTGGAGTTCACCCCTGTAATTATCTTGAAGTATTGTTTGTTTCCACATTACATTGAGGTCACCCCGGTTTCGCCCCGCACTTGTCCCGGGATAAATGGATGCTGTTATAACCAGGGATAAATGCAAGATATTGGCTCACAAGTTGAACTCTGATAAAACCAGGGATGAGATCCAAGTGTGGAAAGGACCAGAGAGAAGTAGCCCAAATGATGCACAGTGATTTGTCCACACACACACACACCACCCTGATGTCAGCCTTCTACTGTCCACACACACAACACATAAAGGGAGGAAACAGAGCACATCATAAGGATGACCTGAGACTTTTGCCAGGCAAAGGGGATGCAGGCATGGGGCACCAACAAAGAACAACTGCACATTCACAGAAAGCATTCCCAGCCACTCCCCAGTAGCGCAACATCAAAAGGTATGTTTGTGGCAAACAGGAGCCATGGGATTGTAGCCTACCACGGGGATGCGGACAAGGAGGGAAAGTTCTCCTTTGGTCAACAGTGTGCTCAGCAGCAAAACAGGTGGAATAGTCTGAACTAGAACCCACAACTCATGCATTTGAGAGCAGTCTTCTAGCTACACACCTATCTTGTCTCACAGGAATGAGACTCAGCTTGGCACATTAGGCAAAGACAAGGTGAGGCTAATAAATTATTTGCAAGATCAGTAGTCTGATTAAGATTTTCCTTTCCATGAATACAGCAACCACTCTGTTGGTATGTATGAATGACATTTTAAGGATTTTAAGGGATAAAAGGTCTAATCTAATTAGACTGTGCTTTTTCAGTTGTGCTAATAAAGTATCCCCTTTTAGTCTTTGAATTTTGCATTTTTCTTTCAACTTGATTATCTATTTCTTTCCTGCAAATGCAGCTGTGGAATATAGTTTTATCTTATCTGTTATTTTTTCATTCAAGGGCTAAAACAGAAATCAAACATTTTGTAACACTAATGGACTTCATGGAATGTTTATTTT